TAATGGGGTTATTTCGTATCAATAAATAGATAAATAAATTATGTCAAAGCTAACGACTCGTAAATTTCGCTACAACTCGCCTTTACAAGAGGTGATAAAAACTTGCAAATAAGTATTTTCCTTCCAATTTCCATGTTTCGACAAGTCATCTCTCATGGCCGTTTCCACCGACAATTTTAGGGGAGGCTTAAAGATAAGTATTCGTCAAAGTGACATTTTTACATGTAGAAATGTCATTTTAAGTTATACTTATCGTTAAACCTCTCTTAAAATTGTTGGTGGAAACGGCCATTAGTATTCCGGAATCCGAATGCAACTTCGTTAAAATAAAAAACAGGTGCAGCCATTTAATAGTTATTTATGGTACTAGTGTGTTCCGCATGTGGCTAAATTCAGCTGGTGTAGGCACCGTGGTGGAATATGGTAGAACAAGCCCTGTTGTTAAATTAAACAGGGTTTGACAACCTGTGGTTTGGCATTGGCATTAGTGAATTTTAATCACCGCATCCGTGGCGGTGCACCATTTTGGTGAATTTAGCAACATGCGGATAGTGTAATAATAAGTCACGCGAGAAAAATGTATATTTATAATAATTTCTCGAGGGACTTGGAAAACATAACACATGAGTAGCATACAAGGTTTTATCCAATAACTCAGAAATCATAGCACACGAGCAGCATACAAGAACTGAAAAAATTAAGTACCTATAGTCCAACAAATACCATTTTAAAGTCACGTGATTTTTCTCTATCCTTGTTAAATACATCTCAAACAACGGTGATAGTAAAATTGACAAAAAAATTGGTGTCTAATTATTGTTCATAATATTCTTACCTGAAATAGAATCCGTCACTGTCATCATTTAATTTGTCAAAGTTATTTTCGAAAATAATACAACGAACTAACACAGCTAATAATTTTGACTATATTAACGTTTTTCCAACTCGAAAAGAAGCAAATAGAAAACGGGTACCCAGTTTAAGTTCAGAATGTATTACAACAGACAGCAGATGCGACAAAAGTGAGTCTCGCAACAATTGCAAGTATTAAAATTGCCCTATGATTGTTCAATACTACTTCAGAAACGCGTTTGTAAAATGCTAGTGGGAACATATATTAAAATTGAATAATTTTTTTTTTTTTTTTTTTTTTTTTTTTTTTTTTTTTTTTTTTTACGGATATGCGCACTCGCAAGGAAATGTCCTATCACGCTCGAGAAGCGGCAAGTGCGCGGAAATGTCGGTGTATGTTGGTCTTGAAACGGTTCAGGTTGTAACCTGCAGGGAAAACCGTCGCAAGGAGTTTATTCCACAGCGATGCTGTTCTCCAGAGATATGAATTCTGATATAATGAGGTTCTTGGTGCCTCTAGTTTGACAGTAAATTCATGGTTACCGTCTGTTTGACGGGTTCGCCTGGTAGGTGCTACTCTCGGTGGAATCATACGTGCCAACTCTTCAGAGCATTTTCCGTGATAGTACCTGTAGAAGAGAGATAAATCGCCCACAGATCTGCGATGTTCGAGACCATCCAAGTTACGAGTAAGTGCGGGGTCATTGATCAGCTTGATAGCTCGTTCTTGCATGGTATTCAAAAGCATTAAGGTATGTTTGGGTGCTGCACTCCATATATGTGAGCAGTACTCCATAGTTGGTCGAATCTGGGCTTTGTAGAGTGTCAGCAATTGGCTTGGTGTGTACAGATGTCTTGTACGAAATAGCACCCCCAGCTTTTGGGAGGCCCTTTTAGCAATATCTGCCACGTGACTGTGCCAAGACATGTTGGTCTCTGCAGTAACCCCCAAGATGTTCAACTGACTCTGTAATGTGACAGCACTTCCAGATAGCATGATGTTTGGCTCACTGGTGCTGGTCTTTTTTGAAAACAGAGCTGCTTGGGTTTTCTGCGCGTTGAACTGTACAAGGTTTTTGTTACCCCAGTCCTCTATTATCTCCAGGTCGTTATTTATCTGCGATATTTGAGTTAGTCTAAGATGATGGAATTCACGTGCGGAAAGACCTGTGGGTGGTATGAGTGAGGAGACTACATTGCCATCGTCTGCAAAGCAATAAAGTGGATTTACTGTTTTATCTATGAGGTCATTTATGTAAATCAGGAAAAGAGTTGGCGAAAGGATTGCTCCCTGTGGCACACCAGCATTTATTTGGTAAGAGTTGGAGTTCTGGCCATCCAGTGCAACATAAATGGATCTGTCCTTTAGGTAACTTTCAAACCAAGTGCAAAGTTTCGGCGATAATCCCATTGCTTTGAGCTTGTTGAGCAGATTTTCATGCCAAACTTTGTCGAATGCTTTAGATATATCTAAGGCAATTGTTCTTGTTTCACCCCGCAACTCAATCGCTTTTTGCCATAAGTGAGTGACGTATGTAAGTAAATCGCCAGTTGACCTATATTTTCGAAATCCGTATTGCTTATCGTTGATAATTTTGTACTTTTCCAAGTACTTGGTTAGGTGATTGTTCACAACTCTTTCCATTACTTTTGATATCACCGGAAGTAGAGCAATTGGTCTATAGTTTAACGGATCTGTCTTTTTTCCTTTCTTTGGAATGGGTTGTACTGCGGCAGACTTCCATGATGATGGATATACTCCTTGCCTGTAAGACAAATTGAATAATTTTGCGAAAGTTGGGGTGAGTTCGTTGGCGCAATTTTTGAGTACTATTGCGGGAATGCCATCCGGACCCATTGCTTTGTTTGTATCCAGCTTTTTTAGGGATTTTCGTATTTCTCTGTGACAAAAGGGTACCTCTGGCATACTATGGGAAACCCTTTCAATGAACGGTGGAGTTTTTCCGTTTGGCACTGTTAGGTTGGAGTTGGAGGAAAACATTTGGGCAAGCATATTGGCTTTTTCCTCTGATGTTGTGGCTAAGTGATTATTTTTATCTGTAAGTGGTGGTATGGATGACTTGGTGAAGTTACATCCAACAGCTTTTGCAAGAGACCAAAAAGACCTAGAACTACTTGGACAATTCAGCAACCTGTTTTTTATTCTTTGATTGTATGTTTCTTTAGCGGAGTCAATAGTAATTTTGCAACTATTTCTGGCTTCTATAAATTCTGTGTGGTTTTGAGCGGTTTGTTGTCGTTTCCAAAGGTTATATGCTCTGTGTTTTTTCTGTACAGCCGTTTGACACTGGCTGTTGAACCAAGGTTTTGCATTAGCTCTACGTTTAGTTGTATGTGGGATATATGGGTCCATTCCAGATAAGATTACTTGTGTTATTTCATTACAGCAAATAGTGGGATCAGCTGTTTTAAAGCAAACCTCTTGCCATGGAAAATCCAGGTAATACTGTTTTAGGTCATTCCATTTTGCCGATTTATAGTGCCACATTTTACGAGGAAGTAGTTGTAGGCTTGGTGGGATGAGCATTTCGCACTTTGTTATTATAAGTTTATGATCTGACGAACCAAGTGGAGCATCTACTTGAATTGTGTACGAGTCAGGATTGGTGGTTAGGAACAAGTCTAAAAGCGCTGCAAATTCGCCCCTTTCTGAGATACGGGTAGGTTCATCGACAAGCTGCGTTAGACCACAACTTATGGCAAAAGCTTCTGCTTCTCTGCCTTCGTTATCTGTTTTGTTGTGGTGTTTCAGCCAGGGTATATTGTGGACGTTGAAATCGCCTAAAAAGACAATTTCCGCCTGTGGATAGTTTGACTGTATACTATCACAGCTTTCGGATAATGTCGCGAAAAAGTTTTGGTAATCGGTGTTACTTGGCGGTCGGTAGAGGCAGCAGATAAACTTGGTCGATGACTTTGAGGTGAATTTTAGCCATATGATATCAAGGTTCGCTGGTTCTAGCTTCTCCTCTCGATGACATGAAAGGTCATTTTTAATGTACACACAGATCCCAAAATTATGTCGAAATCGGTGGTGTAGGTCATAGCCGGGATAAAGATAGTTCACAATAGGTGTTGCAGAACTGATTTTAGTTTCAGTGAGAACAAGGATGTCAGGTTTTTGTTCTTCAAGATGTTGGTGAACTGAATTCATATTTGTACTTATTCCTCTTATATTGCTAAAATCAATTCTGAGTTGAGGTTTTGATCTTCTCGTTATATCTTTGCATGAAGGACCCACAGGATCACCCGACGCCCGGAGATCCGAGTGGTCGGGTATTTTACCTACGGAATATTTTGATCCTGGAGGCGCCATCATGCTATCTGTTACTCATTGTTGGAACCGGACTGCCAGCGTAGTAGCGGAACGTGGTGATACCACTTAGCGCTACTCAATTCTGGCATGGTGGTATCTCACCGGTCGACGCCCAATGAGTAAAAAGCGTCTACCACCTACCAATTAACTACCAGTAGCTTTTTGTCGGTGATATCAACGACATAATCAATGGACATACGTTTTTTGCCACCAATATCACGTGACTTTTAAATGGTATTTGTCGGACTTTACCTTATAGTTATTTTTTTGGAAATGAATCTTCTTAAAAGCAGGATTAATATTTTTTTATTTCCTGACTTTTGCGTTGAATTTATGAGAGAGTGAGTTATAAACCATAACCCACTAGTGAGTTATGGTTTATAACACACTAGTGTGTTATTTCATAGTTTACCTGTCTAAATTGGAACAAATAATGACTCTTATAACTAGCAGGTGTTGAATAAAAAAAAAAACATCGATGAAATTATATTATATTATTTCGCGCATCAAAAAATAAGAACAATCAACAAGATTCGAGCGATTTTTCGAAATAAATCAGGTTTCGGTATAGGGAATTTATAATTTATTCCATTAAAAAACGCCGTAACGTCAAAAAAATACCTACCTATCTGGTAGCAGAATATTGTGTTCTGCTCTTCAAGGTGCACAAACAATGCTCCTATCCAAAACGCAAAAACGTTGGCACCTCTAAAGTTATTGAGTTCAAAAAATCACAAAGTTATAATTGAAAAAACAAAATCTCCTTAGAGGTTCGAGAACTAAGCCAAAATGAATGATTTTTGTGCCGCAGAAGATGCCGCCATTGGTCGGACGTATGGTACCATTTGCAGCAGTCGCTGCAGCTAATTGCATCAATATTCCTATGATGAGAGCACAGTAAGTATGAAACAGTTTTATAAGCACAATAACTAATAAAATTCTTGATTCTTTTGCGCAGGGAATTGAAACATGGTACTCCAATTTACGATATCAATGGTAATAAGTTGGGTTACTCAACAGTGGCCGCCCAGCAAGGCATTGGACAAGTTATTCTGAGCAGAATTGCAATGGCTCTACCTGGAATGGGTAATAAGCAAAACCATATTTGTAATTATAGATCATAAAAATACCCATGTATTTTCTTGTAGTTATTACTCCAGTCGTAATGGACTATTTAGAAAAACGTGGTACCCTTTGCAGATATCCATGGTTAGCGTTACCTACATCCCTTGGAGTGTTGGGTCTTTGTCTAACGTTTGCTACGCCATTAGCTTGCGCTTTCTTTAAGCAGAAAGCTAGTTTGCCGTTCTCAAAGTTGGAGAAGGAACTTCAGGTAAAAACTAAACTTTGTGATTTGTTCACTCAAAGTAAAGTTTCTAGTGTTACTTGAACGAAAAATTCCGCTGCAAAGTACCAAAATATGTGTTTTACAATCGTTACCTTCATATACCGATCCGATCATAATCCTGTCCCAGAATCCCGAAGAAAAATCATATCAACCCTTGTAATTTATGATAATGTATTAGCATCAATAAATGTAACAATTATTCCTGGTTGTAAATTAGTATTTAGTTATTATTGCTTCACATGAAATGAGCCTAATTGGTATTTTCCTTTTCATGTTTTAGGAGGAAGTGAAGAAAAAACATGACATAACTCAAATAGAAAGAGTATACTACAATAAAGGGTTGTAATCTCTTCCCTTTCAAGCCCTTACTGATGGATATAGGTTAAAAAAAATTCTGCCAGTTTCTCAGGGTTGATAAATAAAGCTAATAACAGTTGTGTGGTATAAATATAATTTTTAATTTAACTTAAGCCCCAGTTAGTTTGAAAAAAAATAGGTATGTAGCAAATGGACAATTTCGCATTCCATGACAGAAACTAATATACCACAAACCTTAAATTAATTGAATCTGGGGGTTAACATATCAGTTGACATTCCAATCCAAATGTAGTTAGTTTGTAGTGGTTTATTATTTTGCACAAACATTTATTTATTTTTTTATGAATTTAATATTTAAGCTAATGTATCCTAAACATAGCAAAATGACAATAAAAATATCTGTTAATTGTTTATCTGTTAAATAAAAAAAATCTTACTCAAACGTTATGTATTTATTGAAGGGTACCACAAAAATTATCGCAAAATAGAAAAGGAATGTTCGGGTATAATTCTTGGTTGACAAGAACGCCAGCCAGCAATAAACACTTCATCGGGGTTCCGTGCCAATTTAACAACATCGGGGAATTCGGGCAGAGCATAAATGTATCCTGGAAACCACGGCGGAGGTTGGGTTCCTCTTAATTGAACTCTCGACATGTACTGAACAGGATCAGCGTCCACAAAATACTCGATCCCTTGGGCAAGCGTTTTTTCCAAGTTTTCTATGTCCTCGATCTTAGTTTGATCCAAAACCACAGCTGGTTCAGCACCGACAATGTTAACTAACGGTTCAAGATCTAGAAATTTTATTTAGTAGGTTTGAGAACTCTAAGCTGATTTAGGATACAGGGTTTCTACCTTCATCATTCCACGGCATTTCTTCGTCTTCCAAAGCCTTAAAAGGTCTCGTTTTTCGTTCTAAAATGTTAAGAAAAGAATATGCTTATTGGTTCCTCATTAACATACAAATTTTGTTTAAAATATATGAAATAAGGGCATTTGGGTGGTGAATAAGGGTTCCCTTTTGATATAGGGATGACCTCAGTAATTTTTGACAATAAGGCCCCTTTTGACTAAGGTTACCCTGCTGTCACTAGGTATATTCACAGTGCCCTGCAAGAGGTGAAAAATGTAAAGGGTGTTGTGTATAGAGTGCAGCCTCACACTCTGGATATAGGCTTGGGTGTTGTGGTATGTAAGTAATACACCAGAAGAGGTTTTGTACTGATTTATTAATTGAAATGAGCCGCTATTTATACATAAAGTTTATAGTTTGGTTTGAGTAATTTGGAACTATGTGATGATTCTGCAGTTTGTTAACCCGATAAATTTGTGCTCTTTATCCACCAGGAGTTGTTTCTATAAGCATTATTGCGTTTATCAAGATTGCTGCAATTTTCAAACTTGCTAGTTAATAATAAGGTTGATGTAAAATTGTTTGTATAAAAATGGTTGCGTCACTGCGGACCAATAATTCCAAACCAGTCCATTTTGTTAAAATAAATCCTTTCTTTATATTGTTTTATTGCTAATTTTGGCTGCTTTTGAAGATTAGACATTCTGGCCGCCCGCAGTGTTGGTCAGCTGGCATCGGTGTCAGTTTCGTGGTTGCTGGTGAAATTTCGGAGAGTTTCCAAAGGTATTCCGTTGAAGTGGTCTTCTTGACGTTTTGGTTTCGGCTTGTGTTTCCGATACCCGAGATATCTCAAAAGTGCTAAGAATGTGATGATGATAAGTATACTCGATTTTACAGTGGTGAATACTGCTAGGTGGTCTATGGAAGCCCAATGGGTTTCTTGTAGTTGCTGTTGAAAATCTGACTTTTCCATAATCTTGGATTTTATTTAGAGACGCTGAGGCTTCTAGAACTGGTTCTTCTAGAATGTCTTGCCCTATATTGACAGCGGAAGCATCTGTTGTGTTTGGGTTGACCGGTTGTGCCATGGATGCCAAAACAATGACTGATTCTGCTCTTTTTGGAGTCAAAATGTTTTTATTGGTCTTGATGATGCAGCTCTGGGATATGACCAAAATCCCTGTTTTGTTGAGTGTCACATCTTCACGAATGCCATCGTAGATGGTTGCGACCTTAAGTTGATCAGCGCTAATAAATATCCAAGCATTGGGTGTATTTAAACGGTTCCATATGATACTAGATATCAAGGTCTTCCTTCGCAGTGTGCACGATGTATTTTGCGATCGCTGATAGAGTTCATCGATGATGCAGTTGGGAGTGGCTTCAATGTTTCGAGTCCTAGTCCGTGAGCAGATGAATGCATCTTGACTGATGCTGATGCAATTTCTTAGCTCAGCCAAAGAATAGTATAATTGTGAATTGTAGTCTAATACAATAAATTCGTTTGGCACATCGAGTATCCAGTAGGCTTCTTTTCTTATTTTTGTTGGAATTGGTGTTGCCTTGATGAGCAAAAATTCGTTAGTTTCTGTAATGATGAAGTATCCAAAGACGTGGATGAAGTCCTTGCTGTGCTGAACTTTGGTCTGCAGGATTGGGTACGAGATTATCTGGATGTTTGTTAGAAGTTTCTTGTTGGCTGACGCTATATGGTTTCCTCAACGTGAGTTGGAGATATGACTTCAAATAGATGATAATGGATGTCCAAAAGTTTTTGATGATAATCAGTGACTTCATCTATGTAATTTTCTACGAGTTGGTATGCACTCAATAAATTAATGTTAAGTTTGTTTTCGTCAACTCGGCTGTACCAGCCCTGCACGTCATTTTTTGCTTTAATGCCTTCATTGAGTTTCTTCCTGAATCTTTCTAGCTGATTGCTGATTCGTATCTGTCTGGTTAAATGTAGCCAGAGCATGTAGCTTAAACTTTGCTTGGTGATTAGAGGTCTTGATGAGTTCCTTTTGATTTTTGTCTAATTCTTCAATGTCTGCGTATACTTGATCGTTGACTCCAAATACTGATGTGAGTAATTTTCCCATACGTCCTCGCTTATGACGATTAGTGATCATATTCTGCATCCCTCTGTTGATCCACTTGACGTGTTGCTGTTTCCCTTGTCTTGAAGGTGTTGAATTAGCGATGAACACTCCGTGTTAGATACTAATTCTCTGGCCCACTCTAAAGAGACGAAACTTGCTGAATTTAAGAATGTATGTTGATGGTGTCATTCAATATCCTAAACTTGTTGAATCGGAGTTCCATTCTAAAGGTTCCCTTATCTATCTTTGCGTGTCCAATGTGCTCTACATAGAAGCCTGGAGAAGAATAATGTATCTCATATTTCTGGGCTGAAGTATTTCTTAAGGCGAACATAAATATCAGTGCCGAAATTACTATTCTCCAAGTCTTCTTGTAATTCTTTGAGTGGGATGGCTGGAATCTCATTGCTTCTAAGTCATCCTTCTCTGTTGGAATAGGGATTAGTTTAGGTATGGGCCGTTTTGTAGGGCCTCCTTCTGCCTTTTTTAGAGTGACCACTCGCACCATGTTATCGTCTTGTGATGGGTGGATTTCCGTTATTCTACCAAGGGGCCATTTGCTAGGGTTGATGTCTTGCTCTTTAATAATCACAAAATCTCCTACTCGTGGGTTGATCTATTGATTTTGCCATTTGTAGCTGATGTAAGTAGTAGGACGTCCATTTTTTCCAGAAATCTCTTTCAATCTTCTCGGTAAGACCTGATGTGATGGCTGTGGAGACTGGATCCGGAGGTTCTACTATAGATCTCCCAATTAGAAAGTGACCGGGAGTTAGCACATCTAGATCACTCGGATCATTTGTCATTGCATACAGTGGTCGAGAATTCAAAGCAGCCTTCGACCTGGTGCATGAGTGTTGTCATTTCCTCGTATGTCAAACGGGTCTTTCCAACAACTCTTCGCAGATGGTACTTCATAGATTTGACTGCCGCCTCCCATAGCCCTCCAAAATGTGGTGCTCCTGGGGGTATGAAATGCCACTGTGTTTCCACTGATGATAGCTCGTCTTGAACATTGGAGTTCTGGATGGTCGTGACTATTTCCTTTTGAAGGATTTTGCTAGCACCGACGAAATTGGTGCCGTTGTCACTATAGAGATGTGCACAGCGTCCTCTTCATGAGATGAAGCGTCGGAAGGCTGCCAAAAAAGTGTCGGATGACATGTCGCTTACGACTTCTTGTGTCCTCTTCCTTCAGTTGTCCGAATCTGCAGTGACCTGACATAGTCTATGCCTGCATGCTCGAAAGGATGAGATGGGAATACTCTTGCTTGCAAAACTGTTTTCTTGTATATGCCAGTGTGAGCTGGTTTACTCCATGTAAAATTTGATTGTGAGCGCCGAGAATTATGAGCTTGGTGAGATGGCTTTTGTAAGGTATGATCTTCCGATGCTTGGTTTCGTATGGTAGATGTGACTTTTCTAATCGTCCGCCCACTCTCAGCATACCCTTGTGGTCTAATATTGGGTTGAGGTTGATGATTTTGCTTTTGCTGTTGACAGGATTATTTTCTTGAAGTCACTTTATTTCTTCTCTGAAATGACAACATTGTTCCTGTTTGACTATTAATTCTAGAGTAGTGTTGAGTTCGTTAACCTGTAGTGGACTTTTTCTGTGCCAGTTTTCTTTAAGTATTCGACGACAGTACGTTAGAATTCGAATCATCTTGGTGAGTGACGAAAATCTGCTAGTGATTTTCATCTGGTTGGTATCCTCTGCCGTAATAATTGTTGCATGATGTTTAACTTCTTCCCTAACTGGAGGTATTTCTATTTTTCGTGACAATACTTCCATAGTGGGTTTTGACGCTAGCCAATCTGGACCATTCCACCACATTTTGAACTGTTTCAGTTTTATTGCAACCATGATAGCGTCCGCTGGGCTCTCCGAAGTTCTGACATGATTCCAACTTTTGTCTGGTAGTAGGGAGTTAATCTCTGTAGTTCGGTTTGCCACTAATGTCTTCCATCTTGTGACGTCTCCCTTCATCCATGATATTGTTATCGTTGAATCAGTCCATGCATATTTATCAATTCCTCCACTGATAATGCAGTGACGGTTCTTTTCATGAGTTTTGCAAGAAGAACAGCTGAACATAGCTCTAATCTTGGGAGAGTAGTTCTTGTTCTGGTGGGAGCAACTTAAGATTTGACTGTGAGAAGTGATATTCTGGATGGTCCTTCCTTGCTGTCAACTTTGAGATAAATTACAGCGCCGTACGCTCTTTCATCCGCTTAATTCCTTCTGACAGTCGTTTGGTTGGTCCATCGCAAAATGTCTTCCACGGCCTTTAGTTCATCCTGGAATGACCTCCATTTTGTCTGGATGTTAGCCGGAATCGAGTCATCCCATTTTAACTTTTGTAACCATAGGTCTTGGATTAACAGCTCTGCCTTTATGAGTATGACTATTGGAGCTAACCATCCTAACGGATCGAATAGCTTCGCAACTTCGGAAACAATAATGCATTTAGTAACTTTCTGTTCCATGTTGACTTGCGTTTTGAATCTGAAGGTATCATCATATGGTGAAATTTCTTGTAAGGATTGTTCTCGCAGTTCTTCATCGAGAAATTTGAGGATTGGTATATGATTGCTGGACCATTTGCGTAAGATGAATCCTCTTTGTACATGGGTACTGTCTGAAGATTGATGGCTTCTTCGAGCGTTTCTGTCCCGGAGAGCAGATCGTCGACAAAGAAACCCTGTTTAGTAACTTTAGATGCTAGTGGAAAATTGTCTTTCTCATCTTCTGCCAGTTGCTGTAAGGTTCTAATGACCAAGTAAGGGGCTAAGGTGGTTCCATATGTAACTGTCGTTAGCGTGTATTCTTGTATTGCTTCATTTGGTCCGAATCTCCATAGAATTGTTTGATATTTTTGGTCGTCTGGGTCATCTGGGTGAATCTCAATTTGCCGATACATTTTCTCGACATCTGCTGCCAATACAATTTCATGTGT